CAAAATAGGTAGCATATTTTTTTCTTTAGTTTTTTTTTCTTAAATAGCATATTTTATATATCTTTCAAATCTAAAAAAAAAAAGTTTCTATTTATGTAAAATGAGAAATCATACATAAATTACTTAGCACAGTATAGAGTAGGTACTCAATGATTACATTCTTTTATCTGGCTTCCCCTTAATACAACTGCCTAAGTGATTTTTTTTTTCCATATGGGTCAATGATTCTGAACAGAAAAGAAGTCGATCCTCTATATCTATAACACTTTGTTATTCTCCCTCCCCCTTACCCAGATACCAACTCTTGGCATCCTTTTTGTCATTAACATGTTTGTACATATGTTCTGGGAATTATGAAAGTGGAGGGTCAAAAACCAAACAAAAGACTGGAGGTTCAGTTGACCTTTCATTCAGCAACTTGTACCTCCCTAGGCAACTTCTCTTCCATCCACTCTACACATGTACTGTCACTATGCATGGGATGATGGGGAGACGGAAGTGAACAAGACACAGTCCCCACCTTCGTGAAGCTTGTGGTTTACTGGGAGGAGTAAGCAATAACTAATAGAGCAAGCAAGAGCAGGGGACTGGATGCAGTGACTGGGATACCAGCAAGGGGGAAGATCTCTCTAAGGAGCTGCCTTTTAACGTGAGTCCTAAAGGATGAGAAGGAGCCAACTGTGGGACAGGAAGGAGGGAAGTAGAAAGAGAGTGTTCGGGGCAGAGGGAGCCATCCTGCAAGAGGTCCCTGGCTGGGCACATGTCTGGTGGGACAGTCAGAGCTGAAAGGAGCCCATGGAGCTGGAGGAGGTCAACGAGGTGGAGGAGCAGCCGTGCCAGGCTCCTGGGCCAGGAGTGATCATGGCTCTGGTTTCATGCCAACACAATGGAAAGCCGCCAAAGGGTTTTAGGCAGGAGGATGGCATGATCTGATTTTTGTATTAAAAAAATGACTCTGCTGCAGTGCGGGGGAATTAGATTGGGAGGGGGCAAGTGTGGAAGCATAGAAAGGAAGCTCTTCAGAGATGGTGGTAGTAGGGGAGGAAAGAAGAGAAAAGATGTGAAGTATTTTAGGAGATAGAAAGGACAGGATTGGCTGGTAAATTAGATGTGAAGACAAGGGTAGGGAGAGCCAGGGCTGATGCCAGGCTTCTGCCTTTAGTACTTGGGGGCTCACTCGGGGAGGCAGGGCTGAGCAATCGATAGTTCCCTTTTGGACAGGTTCTATCAGAGGTGGCTGTGGCACTTGCAAGTGGCACGTCAGGTAGGCAGTCGGATATATGAGTCTGAGTTTGGATTGGGGATTGGGATTGGAGATGTAAATTTGGGAGGTGTCAGTCATGGGAATGAATATTAACCCCTTGTGAAAGGGGAGAGAAAGAAGGGGAGAGGGCCCAGGGCCAGGCCTGGGGACTCCAGCATTAAGAGCGTGGAAGAATCTGCACAGAGGGAAGGAGAGGAAGCAGAGAGAAGGCAGGAAACCCACAGCTGCCATCCTAAGGCCAGGAGGGGAGAGTTTTCAGAGGAGAGTGGCAGGGCAGAGGCAGAGAAGGCAGCAACTACACCATATATAGCCAAGAGGCCAAGGGAGATGAGGACAGAAAGGGTGTCCCTAGATGTGGCCACAGGAAAGCCACCGATGACAGGAGCAAGGCTGGCTTTGGTGGAGTTGGGGTGGAAGGTGGATTTGGGTGGGGAAAACATGTGGTGGGAAAGTAGAGACAGCTTGTGAGGACAGCTTTTTTAAGAAGTCAAGTTATAAACAGGAATAAAGAAATATTCCTGTAAAGGATGAGCAATCAAGGGTGGGATGTTTGGGGAAGAGAAATACTGGAGCATGTTTGCAAACTATCAAAATGATCACTGGAGAATGAGATTGTGCCTTGGAATTTAAAAAAAAAAATAATGATAACAACTTATAATTGTGTAACTCCTCACAGTTTACCAAGTGTCATCACACACGCTCTTGCACTTAATCCTCACAGCCATCCTGTGAGGTGTGTGGCAGCCCCGAGTTACAGATGAGCAAGCTGAAGCTTAGAGGAACTGAATGACAAGCTCAAGGTCAGATCCAGAAAGCAGCAGGGCCAGGACACCCTCCGCCCCCAGACTGCTCTGGGCTAACCCCAGGCCCCCTCCTCTCCCCAGCAATGCTGTCCCTATGGATGGCACCCACAGCCAGGACCGGTTGTGCCCTTGGTGATGTCTCTCAAGCAGAATTTACAGTTGCCACCAAGCCCATTGCTTCTGCCTGCTGCCCGTCCTTTGACATTTAGAAGCCACAGCTGGTCTTTAAGAACATGGGCCTGAGCCAGTCCATGGCTCACTTGGGAGAGCGTGGTGCTGACAACACCAAGTCAAGGGTTGAGATCTCCTTACCGGTCATCTTTTGAAAAAAAAAGAACATGGGCCCTTGTCCCACTTCCTGGCTCCATTTAACAAAGCTTCAAAGCCTCCTAAATTTCTAGAAGTGCCCCAAAATTTCTGGCAGGTGTCAGAGACAGTAATCCCCTGTAGCTCACATCTGGCTCCACAGGCTTGTCAGCTTGGGGACTGACACCACAGTGACTGTGGGCATGCCATCTAAGCTCTGCACCTCAGTTTCCACATCTGTAAAACAGGGACGTTAATAAGACCTTCATCCTACGACTGTTGTGAGGATGAAATGAGACAGTGGGAATAAGGCATTTAGAACAGTGCTTGGCACGTGGCGACTGCTCTATTCACGTTCCCCATGATTATTTTTATTCATTCATTCACTCACTCACTCATTCTTGCATCAAACAGACGTATTTTTTTTGTTTTTTTGTTTTGTTTTGTTTTTTGTTTTTAAAAAGATGACCGGTAAGGGGATCTCAACCCTTGACTTGGTGTTGTCAGCACCACGCTCACCCAGTGAGCGAACCGGCCATCCCTATATGGGATCCGAACCCGGGGCCTTGGTGTTATCAGCACCGCACTCTCCTGAGTGAGCCACGGTTGAGCACCCTCTCGATGCCAAGCATTGCTGTAAGCACAGAAAATGCAGAGATGCATCCACTCCACATGCTTCCTGGGCTCAAGAAGCAGATGTTTTAATGAGGGAGGTGATGTTGGAACACAAACCTCTCTGCCCTCGCAGGAATACGCGAGGAGCAAAACGCTGTGGGTATCCAGAGAAGAGAAGGTCACATCCAGCCAGGGCAGTCGGGCAGGCTTCGTGGGAGGATGGGAGGGTGAGAACATTCCCCTCGGGAGGGGGAGGCTGCAGCTGAGCAAAGACACAAGATCGAAAAGGGCAGAGCATATTCAGGGAGTGCGAGGAAACAAACTGGAGTGCCAGCTCCATGGAGAAGAGGAGGAAGGGGTAGGGCTACTTTCCTGGGGAAGATGGTGTAAGGCTCTGGGTATCAGCAGACCCAGCCAAGGGCCACCTGGGTGGAGGGGGAGGCAGCTCTGTGCACGGCCTTGCACCATGGGCTGTCAACCCAACCTAGGGGCTGTGCGTCTAGGGGTGGGGGTGGCAGATGAAGAACACCAGAGTGTCAGCATTCATCCCAGGACACTATGTAGGTTTGGGGGGAACCTCTATGGCACATAATCATTCTGTAACAGATCCAAGAATTTGATACAGCCTAGTAACATCACCTCACAATCCCCTTAGAGGATGTCCTGGAATTAGCACTGCCAAGTTCTTCAAAGAAGAGATGAGCCGGGGCCATCTGCTCTGCCAGGGCCACAACCATGGGTGCAGGGACCTGTGTGTACCGAAGCCATCCCAGATTCAGAGCTATATGTGGGGAGGCCCTGGTTCCTCACATCCCACTTGGAGCTGGCTTCAGGGGATGGTAAAGACCCAAGGGCCAGAGGATGTGAAGGAGGGTGTCAATGCTGGACTTCATATGGTGGCTCCTCAGCCATAGCCTGGGGGAGGGGACGCCTGCTGGGCTCATCTCAAAAGGTTGCAGTTAGACACATGGACCACAGAGCTTTTGGTCCACTGGATTTCAACCTTTGGCTCTGGAATCCCTTGTTCAAACAACGTTGTGGAAGGTGATGCATAAAATAAAATGTATCAGCATAGAAATGCTCTGGTTAAAACTGAGAGTGTAGGGCCCTGTGGCCGCATTTGTCCGCACATTTTGTGGCCCCCTGATTTAGTCCAATTCTATCACTTTACCATCACCACGGTCTCCCAAGTGAGCTAACCCGCCAGCCTCCATTTCTCTCATTTTACAGAAGAGAAGCCCAGAGCCTAGAGAGGGAACTGACCAGCCCAAGGCCACCATCCTAATCTCTGGCAGAGCATTTAAGAAGCAAATGAGATCAAGGATGAGAAAGTGCTTTACAAATTGTAAAGTGCTGTAGAAACGTAGTTTACCATTATCGCTGCCATTTTCATGAAGTTTTCGGGCATTTCTCAAGATTGCTACTCTGGGGGAGGCTGCCAGGAAAAAAAATACTGCAGAGGATAAAGAGTGTTGGCATCATAGGCAGTGTAGAAAGAACACGGGATTGCACCCTAAAGACAAAGGCCCAGCACTGCCATTCGCAGGCTGTGTAACCTTGGACTTCACTTTGCCTCTCTGACCCTCAGTTTCCTTTTCTAGAAAAATGCCTCACCTGCCTTCGTTCTGGGACTATGCAAGGCTCAAGTGAGACGATGCATGTGAGAGAGCTTTTAACAAGGCCAAACACTCCATGAATATAGTCGTCTTAGGAGGTGCAGTAGCAATGAAAGAACAAAAGACCCCGAAGCTTTCAGGACTAGTGTTTAGTGCTCAAAAGGCACTTCCTGTCCTCAAGGGCTGGAGCCAGCTGCTGACAATGCTGGAACCCAAGTGTTCTGTCTCCCCTGCCTAGACACATCTCCTTACATCGACAAGCAGCCCTCAAACACTCTTCATCAAGGTGTCCAAGGCGCCACCTTCCATCACCGGGCTCTGACTCAGCCCCCATGAGGGCCGTCTCTCCCTTCACACACTGTGGGTGCCAGAAGGCTCGTGGCCAGCTGTTTAGCATCCCCAAACTTCACTGGCTTCTGCATCTTGGTGACAAAGGAGAGGGCCAGGTTGGATCTGATTCAGGAAAGAAAGAAGCAATTTCTCTCAAAGGCCTTGGAGAGTTCTTCCTGCCCTCCCCAGGTGTTCTCAGCTGGGGACCATCCAGAGGCCAGCACCTGAACTTCACTCAGGATGCTCACGCTCAGGGTGAAACACAGGCAAGGGGTCAGGGACTCTGTGGATGGGGTTTGGCTGGGTTCCTTTGGAGAGCCTGGGAAGCTGGTGCTCCCAGGAGGCAGGAGGTGGCCTTCAGACTTTCATGGCTCTGCTGCCTGGGGATGACCTTGGGCATGCTGCTTTCCTGTGGGACCCTCATTTTCTCCAGATTGAGAGGTTATGGGAAGAAATTAACCATGGGATACCTAAGTCCTTATGACCCAAGCATGAGCTCTGAGGTCTCGTTCATCCAATCATTTGACAATATTTATTGAGCACCTGTCGTATGCCAGGCACCATTCTAGGCACTGGAAAACAAAACAGACAAAAAGTTCTTATGTAGCTAACAGCAGTATGCCAGGCACCATTCTAGGCACTGGAAAACAAAACAGACAAAAAGTTCTTATGTAGCTAACAGCACTCTAGTGGGACCAAACAGAGAAGGAAGAGATAAACAAGAAGGCAGAGTGGTCAGCTGGTGGTGGAAGCTGTGGGGAAGAGAACAGTGGTGAGGGGTAAAGTGTACAGGGTTGTCGTGGTGGTGGCTGCAGAACTGGGGAGTGTGGGCAGAGAGGGCCTCACTGCAGAGGAATGATTGAGCAAGGGCCTGAAGGAGGTGAAGGAGGGAGCCAGAGTGTGGATATCCAGTGGAAAAGCATCCTGGACAGAGGGAACAGCAAATGCAAAGCCTCTGAGGCAGGAATGGCCTGGGCTTCCATGCCACAAGGAGGTGGTGTGGGTGCAGGAGCCTGATGGGCACTTCAATCTTTTGTCTTGAGTTCCTTAGGAAAGGAGATTCAGCAGGTCCACCTAATAACTTAGCTGTGTTCATAGTCTCCCAACGGAGAAGCTGATTTCATACTACTGCTTAAATGCTGAGACGTTCTTCAGGAGAGAGGTGTTCCAAACCTCAACGACAAAGCCTTCTGCTCCTCCAGGGCTCATTCATGCAGGGTCTCTTGGGAGAGCAGAAAGTGTGCATTAGTCCATTTTCTTTCACTTGTTATAGAATACCTGAAACTGGGTAATTTATAAAGAGAAGAAACTTATTTCTCACAGTTTGGGAGGCTGGAAAGTTCAAGATCGAGGGGGTATAGTTGGTGAGGGCATTCTGAGTGGGGACCCTGCAGAATCCTGAGGCAGTGCATCACATGGCATGCACGGTGAGAGGGCAAGAGTGTGCTAACGTGCTCTCTTCCTCTCCTTATAAAGCCGCCAGTCTACTCCCCAATAACCCAGTAATTCATTAAACCATTAGTCAATGAATAGATTAATCCATCCTTGAGGGTCTAGCCCTCATGATCTAATCACCTCTTAAAGGCTCTACCTTTCAAATACCATAGTCGGATTGCCCTCTTAATACTGTTAGAATGGGGATTAAGTTTCAACATGAGATTTGGAGGGGACAAACATTCAAACCATAACAAGGGTCTTGGGTTCAAGTCCCAGCACCTGACACTTACTAGCTGTGATGCCCTGCAAAGGGCACTCAACCTCTCTGGGCTTCCGTTTCCCTGATGAGCTTCAGTTACCCACCTGTAGAATGGGTTAATAATGCAGCCTTCCATGCCTACCTCACTTGATTGTTGTTAGATTTAAATTAATGAGATCATAAATGTGAAAGTGCCTTTTACATTGAAGCGGGCAAGATAAATGCCAGGGAGGTTTTAGTTTTCTTCAGTGAAGCCTGTGGTAAGGGGGCCGTCACTGGCGGCCCACTCCCCGCCACCACCCCGCCCTGTTTATCATGTCCCTCAGGGGCCCAGTGGACTCTCACTGTGCCTGAACCCACATCTGATACAGGGACACTCATCAAACACTCAGGGACCCCCGAGACAAAGCTGGCAAGGGTCCCCTGGGAATGCTCTCGGGCAGAATTGCCCCACGACTCAGCCCATGCTCTGGTCAGGGGGGACAGGGTGGGCCCAGCTTCTCCTCCCCAATGTCCCCACCCCGTCCCTCCTCCAGGTACAACGGCCCCAACCTGGTTCTGAAGTACGACCGGGCCCAGAAGCGGCTGGTGAACATCGCGGTGGACGAGCGCAGCTCACCCTACTATGCACTGCGGGACCGGCAGGGGAACGCCATCGGGGTCACAGCCTGCGACATCGACGGGGATGGCCAGGAGGAGATCTACTTCCTCAACACCAACAATGCCTTCTCGGGTAAGGACGGGGCCTCAGCCTCTGCCTGTTTCCCACCTCCTCTCTCCCAATGCCAGCTGGGGGAGGGCCTGGGGTCCCTGGCCCTTCCTCAGGCCACTGCTACTGGATCCCCAGGCACAGTCCCCTGCTGCCTCCAGGACCTCCCTCCATCCTAGGAGGACCTCTTCTTGTGTTGTTCATGAAGCTTCTCGTCTCATTCCCAGGCCCTGGGCCAAGATGCAGGGGCGTGAACAGAGGAGACCAAGTCTCTCCTCAGACTGTGTGTCCCTTTCACCTCCCAGTCTGAACAGTCCCCCAGTCCTCCTAACCCTCCTTCCTCTCCATCCCCGCTGCTCCTGCTCAGCTTCAAGCACCCATTGCTATCACCTGGGTTACTGCCGTAGCCAGCAGACACCATCTGGCATCTGCCCTACACTGGCTCCCTTTCTAAAGTGCTTTGAGATCCTTCAAGGGCCCCCCACAGCTTCTAGCTGAGCTCGTTTATTCATCCCACAAGTTTTTGCCGAGCACCTACTCTACACCCAACTAGTGGCAAGAGGTGCTGGGGATATAATTTTGAGGAAGACGTGAGTTCATGGAGCCTTCTCTAGCCCAGAGCTTCTCAAACTGAAGCGTGCATCCCCCCGAATCACCGAGGGTCTCGTGTGAATGCAGACTCCGCAGGCTGGAGGGGCAGGTCCTGCATTTCTGTCATGCGCCCAGGCTGTGATGTGGCTGCTGGTGCAGGCCCACATTCTGAATAGCGAGGCTCTACACGCTAAGGAACGGACGAGGGAGATGGATGCCCGGAGGGCTAAATAATAGTAACGATAGTGACAACAGCTAATACTTAAGTAGCACCTACTGTGTGCCAGGCCCTGATGTGAGCGTTATGTTATCTCATTTAAGTCTCACGACAGCTCAATTAGCTAGGTATTGGTAAATCCCGCTTTACAGTTGAGGAAATTGAGGCAAAAGAGGTTACCTGACTTGCCCAAGGCCACAGAGCTCGTAAGTCCCATCATCCAAAGCCAGGGGCCTGACTCTGGACCTCTCCTTTTAATCAAGGTACTCCCTGGCTTTACTCAGTCCTGTGTCCTGAGGGCCCCATGGAGAGCCTGGCTCATGGTGGCTGCTCAGTGTTTCATGCATTGAGGGCCATGTTCTTTGGGCTACAGATCAAGGTGGTTCCCTACCCCTGACTCTCATGTTTTCTGAGGCTCAGATCTCAAGTCTGCTTCTGTGGGGCCATATCATCTGGGGGGAAAGCCCCATGCCATGATGTCCACCTGGGGTGTGCAGGGCCTCAAGTACCTTCAGGGCCAGGTTGGATTGCACTGAACTCCAGATGGCAGCAGCCTCTTGGGTTGGCTCTGGACGAGATCCTGTGGTTCAGACCTGAGCAGGCACTGTCCTGGCCCAACATCCTGGAGGCTGGTGATGGCCTGGCTGTGGGGGCCACCCTCCTGCTCCCCCCAACCCCGACATCCACACTGGCTTTCCTCTGGGCCACAATGTTGCCCCTACTGGTTGCCAAATCCAAGCCAGGACTAGCCCCTAGACTGCCCCTGATGTTGAGCCCTGCCAGTTGCATGAATGGGAGGGGAAGAGGTTGGGGCCCTGCCAGGGGCAGGGGCGGGCAGCGCTGGTGGCTGGCAGCCAGCCATGCGCAGCCAAGAAACAATGAGCCACAGCCCCGGGTGGTGTTTTATGGGTTTTCATCTCATCTTGCCACCAAGTGAGGCCTGAGAGATAGTAATTATCCCTACACAAATATCAGGGCATGATTACCCAGCTGGATTTACTGCCCTCTCTCCAACCAAGCCAAGATTGGATTAGGACACAATTAATTGATGGGCTGATCAACTCTTTAATGTGGGACAAGGTCAGGAAGGGAGCAGCATCAAGGGACGCCTGTGGACGGGGTGAGTCCAGGAAAACTCAGGAGGGCCGGGAAGCAGGAACAAGAACTGTGGAAGGGCTGTTCAGTGTGGACCTGGCAAGCAGGATGCCAGAGGATAGGGACAGACTCTTCCCTGCCCCCCAGCACAGAGCACCTGCAGGGCAGCAGCCCCTCCCCTGCTCTTACAGAGCCCCACTGAGTGCTAGAGCAGTGGTTCCCAGCCTCGCTGCTCATGACAGTCACCTGGGGAATGTTTAATGATCCCAGCTGAGCTGCACTCCAGTCGATCCAATCAGAACCTCTGGGGGTGAGACCCAGCTATCAGACTGTACAGCTCTCCAGGCAATTTCCAAGTGCAGCCAATGGTGAGGACCACTACGTCAGAATCATGTCAGTTCCATGCTTAGCCCAGCAATAGCCCCACTCATTCATTTATTCATTCATTCACTGGACAAACATTTATTAAGCACCTACTATGTGCCAGGCACTATCCTAAGCATGAGGAGGCTTCCATAATGAAACACAAATACCCTGCCCTCAGGAAGTCTACACTCTACCACTGCACAGCTTATATTTCTCCAGGTATCTGACTCCCTACTCCCAGCCCCCTGGACTCCAAGATCCTTCAGAGCAAAGCCCCTGCATTTTGTGGCCCCTGTGGCCCAGCCAGACAATTAGAATTGGATAAATAAATCCCAGGAAGAATAGGCAGGCATGAGCCATTGGGCCTGAGAGGAGGTTTGCCAGCAGAGGGAAGGCAAGCGAGTCAGGCAGGGTGGAGGCTCCAGAGGGCCCTGGGCTTCCTGGACTTGAGGGCACAAGTGTTTGCGTAGAGAGGCTGGGGCAAGGACGACAGTGCCCAGCAGCCTCAGCCTCAGTGTGCACCCCCCGGTGACCTTCTGTGGGTTTGAGGGATGTCTGTGGGTTTGAGTTAATTTTTCAGTTGAGTGACTCAATTGATTCACCGACAGTGGCAGGTGTGGAGCTGAGACATTTGTGTCATGTCAGCACTTCCTTGGGTCCAGCTGGCACGGTGCTTGACCAATGCCACCCTGCCCACTGTGGGGAACTTGAGAGCCTCTCCAGGAGCCAGCCCAGGCATGTCCATGGCATTCGGCTGTGCGATCCTTCAGCCTGTGCCTGTGTTGGAGGGACCTATGGAAGGACAGTCCTTCTCCTCTCCCTCAGCCAGCCTTTGGGGTGTTAGCACTGGAGTCCTTGGAAGAGGCTGAGACCCGGCCTCCTGACGGTGTCCTGTGGGAGTGAGTTTGTACAAACCTGCGATCTTTCCCTCACCTTATTAGGTGATGTTGGGCAAGGTACTTGACGTCTCTCAGTCTCAGTTCTCTCGGCTGTGGGACAGGAAAAATCACATCAACTTCACAGACTCAGCGCCCTCCAATGGCTCTGCAGGCTATCTTCAAAGCCCTTCCCATTGCCTGCAGCACCCATCCTGACGGGACCCACGTTGCCTCTCTGGCCTCTTTCTTCCTCTTGCTCACTGCATTCCCACCCGAGGCCTCCATACTTGCTGTTCCCTCTGCCTGAAACGCTTTTCCCACCGATACTCACGGTGCTCGCTCCTTCCCTCCATTCAGGCCCCTGTTCAGATGAGGTCTTCGCTGAGCACCCTACCTAAAATCGTGTCCCTGTTAGTCCCTGTGCCCTTCACTGGCTTTATTTTTTTTGTAACACTTAGCAGTACCCGGAAATATATATTTGTTTGTCCATCTCTCCTGCTAGACTCTTAACTCCATGGGGGGGGGGGACTTTATCTTATTCACTGCTCTGCTCCAGACCCAAAGAAGTGCTTATCACTTAGGAAGCATTACGTATGAATTTTTGAATGAAAAACTGAGATAATGAGTGAAAAACACTTATTACAGTGCCTAGGACTTTACAAGTACTCTCTAAACAATAGCCATTATAATTCTGTGGCTATGAAGAAAGCCAGATTCTCTAAAAGTGCCCTGGGCAGAGGGCCACAGTCCTTTCTCCTGGCCCATGGGAAAGAGAGATGTTAGGAGCAAGAAGAGAAAAGGACCATAGTATAAAGAAGACACCACCCAGATGAGGGTACCAAGTGGGCGTGGGTCAAGGGTTAAGAATTGGCAAGTAGGTAAGGGAAAGGAAAAGCAGGAGATTGACCACAATCCCAGGAAGGCCTGGGCTAGCAAACCAGCTTATGGCTTAATCAACCTGGAAAAGTACAAGCCAGAGTGTTTCAAGCAACACTACTCGGTGAAAACCAGGGAGGAAGGTATGTGAGGCAAAGGGAAACAAAAGACGGGGGCCAGCACCTCCCTCCACATCCAGGAGCTCCAGATCTCCTGCAGGGGCTGGTCAGAGCACATTCCCCTGAGGGCCATACACGGGCCCACCCAGCTGCCTCGGGGAGCATCCCTGAGCTCTCCTGCCCACGTGGCCTGGCCTGGGGAAACGGGAGCACGGGTAGCAGATGCGCCAGCATGAACCGTGAGCCAGCACTGCCTTACTTTCACTTATTCAGTTCAACAAAATGGTCCCTGAAGATCGGCTACGTGCAGGGCACTGTTAATACGTATATCTCCCTCCTTTCTGCACAACCAGTGGCATGCCCTACTCACAGTCCTGCTCCTTGCTTTTTCAATTAACAGTACATTTTGGATATTATTTCATGGCAATACACAGACAGCTTTCTCATTCTTTTTATGGCTGTAGAGTACTCCATCGTATAAACTTGCCATTAATTTAATTGGTCCCCTACTGATGAAAATTTAGATTGCTTGCAATCTTTTCGCCCTTACAAAGAGTGCCACCCAATGAGTAAGCTTGTGCAAGCCGCCATCTTCCACAATTGCAGGTGCATTTGTAAGATAAGTTCATAGAAATGGAATTTCTGCATCAACGGAATAAACATGCGTAGTTTTGATCGACCTTGCCAAATTGCCCTTCACAGGGTCACTACTCATTTCACCCCCATCAGCCGTGGATGTGAGCAGACACTTTCCGACCCTCACCAATGTGATGTTTCATCAATTTTTTTTATATTTGCCAATCTGCTAGGAAAAAATTAATAGCTAAGTGTAGCTTTAATTTTCATTTTTCTTAAAATGAGTGAGGCTGAGAATATCTTTAT